AGCATGCGCAGCCACGAAGCCGAGCGAGAACTCCAGATTGGGACAGTAGCGGCGCGCATGCGCAAGCGGAAAGGGGGTGTGAACCGCGGACAGGCGGCGCTGACGACCGGCTGCTCATGCGCATTCGTACGAGCGAGGCTCGCAAAGCTCCGACGTACGACCGGAGCGGTACGTCAGACCGGTGCGCACGCGCATTCAGCGAAAAGACGTGAGGCGGCGCTTGAGACGGGTGGTGCATGCGCATCGGCGACGCGAGGCTGGCGAAAACCGGGACGTGGGGCCGAGGCGGCGCGTCGGAGCGGTGCGCCTGCTCAGCCGCAAAGGGAGGCGGGAGGAAGCGGTGCGCTTTCCTCTTAGGCGGCGCCATTTTGTGCTCCGAGCCCTCCGGCGGTGGGCTGTGCGTGTGGATGAGGCTGCCGAGCGGGGCGGGAAGTCGCGCCGGCGAGGATGGCGGAACCTGTCACCGGGTCGGGCGACCCCGGCTCTGGTCCGGTCGCCTCGGAAACGGGAATGCGGCGACTCAGCGACCTGCGGGTGATCGACCTGAGGGCGGAGCTGAAGAAGCGGAACCTGGATACGGGCGGCAACAAGAGTGTGTTGATGGAGCGGCTGAAGAAGGTGAGCGGCAGTCCGTGCTGGCGCCGGGGACCCGGGCGTCACTGCTCCCTCAGACGTGGGGCATCCCAGCCCGAGCCTTCATCTCGGTGTGAAGTGTCAGGCACCGAGGGAAGGAGCGAGGGAGCCGAGGCTGTGTGACCTTGGCCAGCCTCTGCCCGTCTCTGTGTCTGGCGGTCCTTTGGCCCCAGAGTTTGCACGAAGCCCGGGCTGGGTGAGTGAGGAGCGCGGTGCGCTTGGGCAGGTCTTCACGACCTTGCGTGTCTGCAGCTCCCTCCCCTGCTGCCATCTCAGTGGACTCTTGTGGAGAATGCCAGGTATCCTCGTGCACGCCCGGCTCTGCCCAGAGCCCCCGCACAGACCATGCCCACTCCCAGGTCTGCTCCCCTTGCATTTTCCTGGCCTGGAACTGGGTTGTCATCTTGGGTCAGCCTGAGACGTCACCTCTCCGCCTCTCTCGGTCTTGTTCCGAGCGCCTCAGCACTTGACACAAACTTGACTGTGTGGAGTGGGGGTCCTTTGAGGGTTGGGGACTTGTGATTGGCTGCCCGTGGAAGGCGCCGGGATGCTTTGAGTGAAATTTTACCAACTTGCTTCCTTCCCCAGCCCATGTTATGTTTTTCCTCATCAAAAGTCAATGACCTTTCTCCCTGCTGCCCCTCCTCCTGTGTTTTGGTGATCTCCCGTAACCCAGGCTGACCTCAAACTTGCTGTGTAACCCAGGCTAGCCTTGAGCTCCTGCTCCTCCGGCCCCCGCCTTCCCAGTGCTGTAGTTACAGGTGTGCACCTTCGAGGCGGGCTAATGATAATAGCCTTTTGAACCCCACTCAGCCCTTTGCCATCCCTGAATCAAGGACCCTGCCATCGACCCTGCCTTTGAGGAAAGGGCAGGGGAGCATAAGATGGGCGACCACTTTGTGAATGGTCACCAACACTGATTTGGGAGTAATACTTGGATTTTACTTATTTTTGTCAGTGCTGGGCATTATTATATCCAGGGCCATATGCCACCAGTCGAGTGCATGACCACAACCTGCTGGCCCTGATTTGAAGCCGGCCTTTCAGCCTCCCTTTCTTTGGGTTTTTGGCCTTGATCATAAAGGGGGAGCCCACTGTGCTGGGTGAGGCCTGAAGCCTTCCTTAACTGCAAGGTTGCTACTTAGATAGAACAGCTTGTACCAGGCCCTCTTAATAAATAACTTTGTTTAAAAATCCACCCTCTCTCCCATCAGGCAGTTAAGGAGGAAGGACAAGAGCCTGAGATCAGCATCAGCTGGGGAGCTGCAAGCAAGAGGGCCATAAAAAGATGCGCCAAAGGTACCTGCCTGTCTTGCTGCTGGGCCTGGGAAACAGGTGTCAGGCTGGGCTGCTGGTCTTCGAGGACCCCCCCCCATACACATACACATGGGCTGGCTACTCCCAGTGAGTGGTTAGGTGTGGCCAGTGTCAGAGGTGCCCGAGGAAAAGCAGGGCCAGGGCCAAGGAGACGAGAAGTGTATGCCACAGACACTTCATGAGGGTGATAGGAGGCTGGGACTTGCAAAGTATGTGCTCTACCCCAAGCCATGGCCCCAGCACTAGTTTGTGTTTTTGAAAGATGCCACAGGTAAGTTCTCACGCTGTCCACAGTCTGTTCATCTGAGGCACACTGAGGTCAGGTTGCATAGGATGGCTGCTGAGGAAATACAGAAATTCATAGCATTTCTGATGATTGTGGTCTATGGGTGTGTGTGTGCCTTGGTGTCTCATTGTCCACCTTGGTTTTTGTCTGCTTTAAGGTTTATTTTTATGTGTGTGCATGTTTGAGTGCATCACGTGTGTGCAGTGCCCACAGAGGTCAGAAGCAGGTCTCAGATCCCTCAGAACTGGAGTCAGGCCAGGCGTTTGTGGCACACGTCTTAGTCCCAGCACTCGGGAGGCAGAGGCAGAGACAGATGGATCTCTGAGTTTGAGGCCAGCCTGGTCTACAGAGCCAGTGCTAGGATAGGCTCCAAAGTTACACAGAGAAACCCTGTCTTGGGGAAAACAAAACAAAACAAAACAAAGAACTGGAGCCGGGTGCTTGTGAGTGTCCATGTGCAGGCTGGGAGCTGAACTTTTAACTAGTGAGCCGTCTGTCCAGCCCATCTACTTTGCCTTTGAAATTGGGTCCACCTGGGCCACCTTAATGGTTTGGCTGGGCTGCTGACCTGAGTCCTGGGGATCCTCTTGTCCCCACCCCCTAGCTCCTAGGGTTACAAGTGCCCTCACACATGGTGTTGGGGCCTTAAGCTCACATGGCCAGCAGCTTCTAGAAGGACAAATTTTCTTCAGCACTCAAGAGGATGGCCAATTCCAGGGAGGCAGGGTTGTGTGAAACTCTGGTTAAAAACAACCAAGGGTGCCGGGTACTTAGGAGGCAGAGGCAGGTAGATCTCTGTGAGTTCAAGGCCAGCCTGCTTTACAGAGCTAGTTCCAGAAGAGCCAAGACTACATACAGAGAAACCTTGTCTCAAAAGTTAAAAATTAAAAAAAACAAACCAAGGCTGATTAAGTAGCTCACTGCTAAGCCTGCTGCTAAGTTGAGGAGCTGCTTGACCCTCAGACCCAAGTGATAGAAAGAAACAGTTGACCTCTGACTTCCACATGCCCGCCCATGCTCACAGGTTCACAGGTGTGTTAGATGGTAACCTTTTTTTTTTTTTTTTTTTTTTTTTTTTTTTTTTTTTTTTTTTAGCACTAGCCTGGAGGCCTAGTGAGATCCTGGATGCTTGTGTTACACTTGCCTGACTGGACTCAAGCATACCAGATCTGTGGGTGGCATTGTCAGATAATCCTAGAGGAGGTGGCAGCCAGCTTGGTTGGGAGGTTGTCTCCTTGGGCAGAGCTGTGCTGTCCACCTCTAGAGGTGCTTGGGAGTGATCTTTAGTATGGTGTGCTGGCAGTTGGTTTCCAGGCCAGTCAGAGGTTCTGTGAAGACAGGAATGAAGTTGGCCAGGGGGCACTAGTGGTTTTTCTGAACATTGCTTTCTGGCAAAGTGAGAGGAAGTTCCAGGAAAGTCACAGCCTCTGCTTCTCAGGTGGGAGGTGGCTCAAACAAGGGGTTGGGGTAGGCAAGTGGTCACCCAGCATTTGTTCCAAAGGCCCCCCTCCCAAAAAAAAAAAAGCAAAAATCACTGAATGGTTCTGACCATTCGAGGCTTGCAATTCATGTTGGATTGGCTAGTGAATGTGTCTCTTATGCCAGTGTTCAGCAGCCATCAGTGTGTCAAACGAAGGTACTGCATACTACCACAGAGGGCCTGAGTATTCTGAGTCCCTCTCACTTTGCAGCTGAACAAGATGCTATAGGCACCATAAGGATTATTTGGTTCTGAGAATTGAACCCAGCTGTGGACTTGGCCTGGTTTTGGATTGTTGGTCAAAGAGTTGAGAGTTCTTAAGATTTGTTTGTTTATTTATTATGTGTATATGTATACAGTGCATGCCAGAAGAGGGCACCAGATCTCATTATTATAGATGGTTGTGAGCCACTATGTGGGTACTGGGAGTTGAACTCTGGTCCTCTGGATGAGCAGCCAGTGCTCTTAACCTCTGAGACATCTTTCCAGCCCTGAGTTGAGAGTTCTTAAAGGTGAGGTTCTTGTGTCTGTGTGGATTGGAGTGCACATACATGTGGCAGTCTGAGGTCAGCAATGGATTGGCCTCAGTTGTAAATGTTGTTTCCTGGGACCGGTTTTCACTGCTGGGCTGATTGACCATCAACTCCCCGGGTGTCCAGTCTCCATTTATTTTTCCAGTGTTCTTCAGATAACATCAGTCTTGGCAGCACCTGCTTTACTCACTGAGCCATCCTGCTCCTTTTATTTTCTGTTCTAGCATTTCTCTGAGTGTGGTGGTTCATATGCAGCATCAGTGGACAGCTTTATACAGTAGATTCTGAGGATGGAACTTGGGCATTTAATTCCAGAGGGAGAGATGGTAATGGCGGGGGGTTCGTGTACCATACACAGAAAGCAGAGAGAGAAAAGTGAAGTGAGGCTGGCTCTCAGAGCCTTCTCACAGTGACAAAACTTCCTTCAGCAAGGCTTCACTTCCTAAAGTTCTCAGCCTCTGGGTAGCACCCCTTTGCAATTGAATGACTCTTTCACAGGGGTCACCTAAGACCATCAGAAAACACAGATAATTACAGTTATAATGTAGCAATGAAAATAATTCTCTGGTTGGGGTCACCACAGCATGAGGAGCTGTATTAAGGGGTCCCAGCATTAGGAAGGTTGAGAACCATTGCCCTGAAGGGTCCATGTATAATCTCCCCAGATTGTCAGCTGGACACAAAGTTCAAATACCTGAAGCTTGTCGTCCAAATGACACCTGGCGAGTGCTTTTATCTGCTGGCCTGGGACTGCTGATGCAGCTAAACTGTCTGGCCAGAAAGCACCCAGAAATTGTGTCTATATCTCCCTGGTCCTGAGATGACCGTGTAGACACTGCCACATCCAGCATTTACATGGGTGCTGGGGGTTGAATTTGGAGTCCTTGTTAACTTTGAGCAATTTCCCCAGGCAATTTTTCTTTTTATTGGATGATTATAGGTTTTGTGACTTTCCCAATTCTTAATCTTTTTGGAAGTTACCTGGTGTTGTTGGCATTGGGAACCAAAAACTCAGAGGGACAGAAGTCCCCCCCCCCCCCCAGGTCATGAGTTCCCCATGTTTCTACTGTGCTGGATTATGAAGCATCCTGGGCATTTCAAGAGGCTTCGGGTATTGCTGGGTCACATGCACATGTGCACATATGTATACATACAAGCGTCTCTGCATGCCAAGGATGCTGCTCCCTCCTCCCAGTTTCAATCTTTACTTGACCCTCAAGAGCCATCTTTCCTCCTTGGGGTACAGTTATGACACCCATACAGAGTTTATTTTCTTTCACAAAACCATTGATGGGACTCAGCTTTGGCTTTAAAAACAGTTGGTGGGACTGAGATGGTTTCATCTGCAGAGCTGTTGCCACAGAGTTATGAGGGCAGGCCTGTATTCAGATCCCCAGCACCCAAGGGGAAACCCAAGTTGTGCATCCATAACTACAGTGCTGGGAAGTGGACACAAGGAAGATCTTTGGGCTTGATGGTTGACCAGCCAGGCAAATCAGCAGGCTTCAGGTCAGTAAGCTCCTATACCAGGAAATAACATGGTTAACAGTTTCAGAAGACATTCATTATTGACCTCAGATCACCTCATGGAGCTGTGCATGTACCATGAAAGACCAGTGCTAAGATGCAGGCAAGCCCTTGTAAAGAGCAGAATGCAAGTGGACCCAGTCAGCAATCTAGTATGTCTACAGATTGCACTGCAGGTGTACTGTATCCTTGCCTACTATGATGGGAGGCAGAGACAGGCACCTCTTTTCCTGTCTTTTGAGGTGTTTAGTCTGAGTGCTGTGCTAGGATGATTGATGACACCCACCCAGACAGGATCTCCGCAATATGCAGAAATGGCTAACACCATGGAAATTGTGTTGTCCCTTGTCAACTAATTCTGAGGCTGGCTCTGGATTCTAACCCAATTGACACTATTCTATAATTAGGACTCAAGATGGAGGAGGAGGGCAGCGAGGACAACAGCCTGGAAGAAGATTGCAGAGATGGGCAGGTGTGTTGGGCCTGGGGGCGGCACACCTTCCCATATCCCATGGTCTTGGTGACTGACACCCTCGCTCCTCTCACAGGAGGACGGGGTTGTGACTCTGCAGAGCTCACAGGACAGGGACAGCATGGACACAGGTGTGCCAGATGGGACAGAGGCTGAGGACCTCAGTGAGCCCTGCCTGGGGGAGGGCAACACCAACGACAGCATTCTTCATGCCTTCAGTGACAGTAAAGAGTACGTGGCCGCGCAGCTGGGACAGCTTCCAGCTCAGCTCCTGGAGCATGCTGTAGGTAACTTGCAGCCACGTGTGTGCCAGCGGCCGTGGGGGCTCAGCACCAGGGCTGCCCAGGTCCTGGTAGAACTAGACCCAAGTTTAATCCTTCCACAGTCAGGTGTGGGTGGCATGAAGGCTCCTCAGGTCACGAGGGCTTTTAAGTGCTGTGGAAACACACTCAACAGATCAGGCTGTTGTCTGTCACCTGGTGGTGTTGCCATCAGCATAAGTCTGTCCCGTGGGCATCTGCTGTCCTGTGCAGGCTGGCTTTGCATGGTGCTCCCAGCTGGTTGGTTTAATGTGATATTGTAGTTTCTTTCCTGAGGGACTTGCTGAGGCTCAGTGTCACCTGAGGTCAGGGGTGTATGAACACCTAGTGGGTCTTAGATAAACTGGAGGACCTCCATTCCGAAAGTCCAAGTAGGAATGAGGTAGCAGAGCTGAAGAGGCATCTGATTTTCATGTGAGGTGTGAGTCTATCATACTTAGAAATGGCTGGAGAAGTCGGTCCTCAGCCAGCCAGCACAGGGGCACCTGCTGCCTGAGAGCCACTGTCCGCCTCGGGCTGGAGTCAAGGGCGACTGTGCTGTCCTCAGCTGAGCAGTCACAGTGATGGGTGCCGTGGAGGAGTTTACAGCGGTGTTCACTGCTCTAGCCTCCATGAAGTCATGTTCTGATTCTTTTTTCCAGGTAAATGAGAATGTCTTTAAGACTTTGGAAACTTCTGTGTCAGACTTCAAAGTAACGCTGGTGAGTGGCCTCTCCCTGTGGCTATGCAGTGTTTGTGTGTACGTGTATGTATGTGTGTACATCTGAGTGTATGTGTCTGTGCCTGTGTGTATGTACATCTGAGTGTATGTGTGTGCATGTAGAGCACATGTGTACTGGTCATTCACCCTGTGGCAGTTGCCTAAGGGACAGTTAAGGCAGCAGATATACCTTAGGTCACAGTTCACAAGGTCAGGTGACTATTGCTATATTTCTGAGAAGAGGCAAAAACCATGGCAATGGGGAGAGTGTGCTAGAGGAGGCTGCTCACCTCATGGTGGCCAAGGAGCAGAGACAGGCAGAGGCATTGCAGGCTCATCCATCCCCAACCAGCACCTTCCTGTTGTCTGTTTATAACCACCAAAGGAAGGAGCTATTGATGGGGCCAGGGCCCTGTGGCCCAGTTACCTCCAAGCCTTACAGTGCAGTACAGATGCTGGCCAGACCTGCATTTGGAGGCTGGTGTGTGGTTTGGTGAGGTAGGGCTATATGATCAGGACCAGAGAGCCAGGTGGCTGGGTTCTGTAAGTGCCTGGAAGGTTCCCAGAGAAATCCAGGCTTGGAGTTATTGTGGCTTAGTTCAAAGGTGAATTTGGTGTGGTAGTGGCCCTGAGGCCAGAAGGGGTGTGTGCGGCTCCTGGAGTTAAGAGATGCCAGTGCTGGTGACTGTGGGGCCCCAGGACTGTGAAGGGTGTAGCCACTGTCCTGAATGAGTGGGCAGGCTTTCTTTAGTCATTAGCTTAAGGGAAATGGCGGGGAGGCACTGCCTTGCCCTTCTGTGTCTTTGCTACCTGGAAAATGGGTCAGGATGGGGTTCAGTCTCGGGCCTGGAGGGGCGCGTCAGCCTAGTACACAGGAGCTTCTTCATAATGCAGCTGTCCGATGGGAAGCATTAGTGGACGAGGCCTTGGTGACAGATCTGTGCGTGGGGTCCATGGTTGTGCTATTTGGAGTGATATGTGCCCTTCTGTTCTCTCTCCAACAGGCTGATGAAGGAGCCCCCTTGGAACCAGGTACTGCTGAGACAGGCTCAACAGTGCGGCTTGGCGCTCTACTGCTCGCGCTTAAGTCCTGTCTGTTCTTGAGCTGTGTTATGGTCTCGTAAATCACCCCAGTGGTGGACGGTCCCAGTTGCACAGGATCAGAGATTGGAAACCCACTGTATCACCAGATCTGTGTGCGTGTTGTGGCAGCCCAAGGGTAGCCTTGGGGGCAGATGTGTCACTTGCATCAAGCCATGCAGAGTGGTTGTAAGTGGCCACCAGGTGAGGCTGTCTGTCCACACACGAGACAGATCTTGTGATACCATACCAAGTCACAGTCATGGGGTTGAGGCAGGCCCGAGGCTGTGTTAGGGCACTTAATCAAAAAAAAAAAAAAAAAACAAAAAAAACACCGATGCCAGAAGACAAGTGGGTCTCTGCCAAGATGTTCATCCTGGGCCCCTCTGGGCTGCCACGTTCTCACAGGCGAAGAGCGGCTCCAGTTGCCTTGAACTCTGGTGCTGGCCTCGATCCTTCAAGCAGGGAGCAGCAAGCTCCTCAGTAAATGGTGACTGCCATGGCTTCAGCACTATGGACATTTGGAAGGAAGTCTGAAGACACAGATGTGATTGAAACTGAAGAAAGCTGTGGAAACTGCGCCGTGGTTGTGGGGTGGATGGGGGGCATCTCTTGCCCTTAGCACAGGCTGGGGGCGCCATGGCCAAGGGCGCAGGTAGGGTGCAGGCGCTGTATAGCGGGTTTTCCAATCTCTGTGTAGCCAGCAGTTCTGTCGGTGTGAGCGGGGCCGCCGCGCCCGAGCCGCAGTTGTGATTGCTTTATTTCCCTGGTGATTAAACCTTGTGCCATTCTATTCCTGTTAAATCCGTAGAAAATGAGAAAATACTCGACATTTTGGGGGAAACTTGTAAATCTGAGCCAGTAAAAGAAGAAGGTTCGGAGCTGGAACAGCCCTTTGCCCAGGTCACGAGTAGCGTGGGGCCAGACAGGAAGCTGGCGGAGGAAGAGGACCTATTTGAGAGCTGCGGCCACCCGGAAGAGGAAGAAGAGGAAGAGCAGGAAGAGGAGCAAGAGGAGGGAGATTTAGCTTTGGTCCACAACAGCGAGTCTGAGTCTCCAAGCACTCGGTGTCAGTGGAGCGAGGCAGAAGCCCCGTTAGCAGTAGTGAAAAGGGACCTGGTGAAGGTGATGAACGAAGGTGCCAAGCGCAGGTGGAGGTACAAGGAGGCTCGACTGCACCGGGTGCCTGCAAAGCTGGCAGGCGGAGGCCCCGGGATGGACCGTGAACCTGTAGGGCTAGAGGAGCCAGTTGAGCAGAGTAGCACAGCTGCCCAGCTCGAGGAAGCCACCAGCCAGGAGCTGGTGAGAGCGCCCACAGCATCCCTGAGCCCTGAACCCCAAGATAGCAAAGACGACGTGAAGAAGTTTGCTTTTGACGCTTGTAATGACGTCCCTGCAGCTCCTAAAGAGTCCTCAGCCAGTGAGGGCGCTGATCAGAAAATGAGGTTTGTTGATTCTCAGTCCTAGACCAGATGCTATCTCCTTTCATTGTCACTAGTGACACACATGAGCTGTTTAGAGCCTGCAGTCAGCAGCCACGCTGCCCAGCGCTAGCTCCTTCAGGCAGCTCCATGTCTCTGCGTATGTTTAAAGGGTGATTGGTTTTCCCTTGCTCAATCTGCCATGGTTGGGTTCTTAAATTGATGACCGGTATCGCCAGCTAGACTGAATTGCTCTGTAGGGATCTGACACTATATTGTGGTCAGATTTTCCAACATAAACTCGCAAAAGGTGTCTTGTCAGTTTAATTTGAGACTAATTCCCTGGTAGGTATTCAGTTTTAGAACATTCATTCTTTGAAATTAGTTCGCTTCAGCTTTTCCTTGTTGCAGTAACATTCTTTTTTTTTGTCTCTAGCTCTATTAAGGAAGAACAGGATATAAAACCAGTCATTAAAGACGAGAAAGGTAGGCCTCCCTTAGTTGTGTTGCTATGTGGTGACCCAGGGAGGGTGTGGGCTACAGGCTGCTACACTTACCAATTGTCCCTGTGCATGGCCCTTCCCTGAACCACTGTCAGGATTCTGGGTATCTGTATCATGGGGTAGCACACCCAGATGGGAACACAGCTGCCCTGTGAGTGACAGACAGGCACCTGCAAGACTCCTTTAGCTGTCTTGCAAAGCCATCTCTGCCACAGGGTGTTACTGTTTATTTCTGGAGTGAAGAGTCTGGTGGCCTTGTGTAAAGTGCCTGCAGTGTGAGTCTGAGGATTCTCTCCATCCCTATAACCCCAGCACTGAGCTCAGAGCTCATCATGCCTCACCAATTCAGCATAATCTGAGCTGCAGTCTCATTGTGCTGTGTCTCGAGGTAGAAAATGAGGAAGACACTGAATGTTGAGCTCTGACCCCCACATACAGGCATAGTCATGATATAGGGAATCTTACAGCTTCTACCCCATGTGGTAGCTGTTCGGCTTGGTGGATGGGTCCTGCCTCAGTGGCGCTGATGACCTCCTCTCCCCAGGCCATGCCAGCTGTACCTCGGGAAGGAACCTGTGGGTCAGCGGGCTGTCCTCCAGCACACGTGCTGCTGACCTCAAGAGCCTCTTCAGCAAGCACGGGAAGGTAGGGTCCCTGCGCCTGCTCACCAGTGAGATGGGACTGGAAAGCACCTGGCCTCCTAGTTCTTAGTGTGCTTTTCCTCAGATGTTGGTGTCTTCTCCTATGCTGAAGATGGACCTGGGGCTTACTGCGTGCTTGGGAAGCTCTCTGCCACTGACTAGATCAATCCTCTTGGTTTGGACTTGGTGGCCTAAAGCTCACTGTGTAGATCAGGCTTGCCTCAGACTTGCACCACCAGACCCAGCTCCCCTGCCCTGTTGTGCTGAGTTCTCGTAATTGAACTGTCCATTCTGGCATATGTGGGACAGCTGTGGTGACAGGTCTGTGCTTCAGAGGTGGGGGTGGAGATGAGTTGGAGGCCCTGGGGTCCAGCACTACATAAACTGGACATGATCTCAGCACTCCTGAGGTGGAGGCATGAGGATCAAATTCACAGTTGTTCCAAGTCATCCTGGGTACCCTAGTGGATTAGAGGCCAGCTTGGACCACAGAAGGAAAGGATCCCCCACTTGGTTGTGCTCAGAGTGCCCAGGGTACAGCAGAGAGGCTGTTCACCCTGTCTTAGCTCTTGAGAGCCCCTCTGAGTCTAAAGCCAACATAGCAAGGTTGTGTGCTGGTAAGGAAGCTGTTGGCCTCTGTGTCCTCCAGCCTGGGATGCCTTGGAAACTTGAGCAGGAGTGGGTCCAACTTCTCACTAGTGCTGTGCACTCTTCAAAGCTTCCCTTGGGCACTTGGGGACAGGAGAAGAGACTACCCTGCATTGGGGGAGTCTGAGCACTGGGACACACAGCAGTCTGGGCAGGGGTGTGGTCCCTGCAGAAATCTTCTTCCTTTTAGTGCAGGCCTAGGCAGCTGTTTCACCCCCACCAGTTGTCACACCCACTGCAGGTGGTGTCAAAAGACAAGCCCTGAAGCCACTGTTTGTTAGACTACTGCACACAGCAGAGCCTTGAGAGCCAGTGAGCTTGGTGTATCTGCATAAACCTCAAGAAGGCCAGTGGCACAGGGGCAACAAGGGCTGATGGTTCGTGGTCAGGGGTAGGCCAGGTATACATCTAGACATGAGCAGCATCTCAATTATGAGAAGGAAGATGTGTGCCAGAACATGTGTCCAAGGATGCTATGCCCCCAGTCCCCATCTTGTCTGTCTATGTAGTCTGAGCTTTTTGGTGCAGCTGTCCCTCTGGCTGTATGACTCCCTGAATGTTGTTGAGCACAGGGGTGTGTGTTTCCAAGTGATATCCTGTGTGTTGGAGTGAAGCCCCAGGTTTCATAGAGCGAAGCGTGATCCCGATTCCTGCTGCTTTGTCATTTTTGCTTTACCAGTTATGCTTGACATGAAAGGCATAGCTCAGCAGCCTTCAGCCCAGGCACTTCTGCCCTCAGGCCTCCTCCCTCCAGGTGACTGGTGTCTGAGGACGACAGCCTTGCTCTTCTGTTAACAGATACACTCTATCTAGCTAGGCTTGATTTTGTCTTTGTTCTTCAACTACCCACTACCTTTTTCTCCCGGCATTTTCAAGAGAACACATTGGGTTTTCTGGGCTCTGCTTTTCTTGTTCCTGTCTTTGGGGAGTTGACATTGTGGCCTCTTGTGGAGTTGGCAGATGCTCATTCTGTGACCCCGGCCTGGCTGGGGTCCCAGCTTTTGTGGCCTTCCAGAAGATTTTCTTGCACTTTGTTCCATGGCCTCTGTTGTGTGATGCCAACCAGTCTTTTCACCTGCAGAAGTTGGTTGTGAGGATTTGCAGGTCCCTACACCTTCCTGACATGCTGGGCCACTTCTTGCCTGAGCAGCAAGCAGATTCTGACATCCAGTTTGTCCCATGTCACCTCTGACTGGTCACAGTACACCCTGTGCCTATGGGCTGCTGGGTCAGCTTCTGGCTGTTTTATCTGAGCAGTGACTGACCTGCCTTCCACAGGGCATTCCCCTACCTAAGAGGGGCCCTGAATGCAGGCCTCCCCCTGCATGGCTCAGGCCACTCCCATCCAACTCAGAGCCTCTGCAACCCTCAGCTCACCTTTAATCTGCCTCAGTTTCCCTCCCTGCCCATTCCCCGGAAAATCTGGGCATGAAGCGAGCAATCTGAATGCATGTGTTCTGGTCTGCAAAGCATTGGCCCTTCCCTGTGGTGCAGTGGCTATAGGTTACATACCTGTTCGTGTGACACTTGACTGGCTCTGTGTACTGTTTGTCACCATGAGAGCTACTGTGCTCTGACCAGTAAAGATTCTCTAGACTAGGCAGAGCCAAGTGCTGAGGACCGCAGAAATGGGTGTCTGGTGCTTGGCCCTTAGTAAGCCCTGTGTTCTTATGACAAAGGCCAAGTATGTCCTTACACCAGTATATTCTTTACCTCGGAGGTTGTCGGGGCCAAGGTGGTCACCAATGCCCGAAGTCCTGGGGCTCGGTGCTATGGATTTGTGACCATGTCCACGTCAGATGAGGCTACCAAATGCATCAGCCACCTGCACAGAACCGAACTGCATGGAAGGATGATCTCTGTGGAGAAGGTGAGGTGACTGCTGTCACCACCCACAGCAATAGCAGGGCTGTGCCCCCCCCAAGTCACCACCGCCCCGTTACATTCTAGGCTAAAAACGAGCCCTCCGGGAAGAAGTCGGCAGACAGGAGAGCTTGTGACCTGAAGGAGAAGGTGCCAGGGCCGGACAGGCCTCACCCTGTGGAGATCAAGATGGAGAAGTACAGTGACGTGGTGTCCCTGTCCCCTGGGGTCCCAGTGCCCTTCCAAACCCTACTCCCCGGCTGGTAGCCACAGGGCAATGCAGTTCTAGTCAGCCCAGAGCCAGGTAGCTGAGCAACCTTCCAGCAGGCTCCATGCCAGCTGAGGCAGTGTGGCTAGTGCAGTCTTATTGCCAGCCTTTACCTCCTGGCTGTGAGAACATTAGACCTGGAAGGGCTTCCTGGGCTGTCTCACCCAGATGTGTACCAGATTCGCCAGCTCACAGCCCCTCCTGGCACAGTACTGACCTTGAACAGGTCCATTTGTTCAGTCCAGACAGAAGTCACACATCACCATGTTCACGCATGTCCCAGGCATGCTGCACATCCCCACAGCAGCCTGTAATGCCTTAACACTTAGAGCCAGGTTCTTCGGAGTGCTCTTGACAAGGAACATGACTTATATTTTCAGCAGAAATAGACAGGTACAGACCTGGTGGCCTGGCAAGTGCCTGCCAGCTTGTGTTGCTGTCACCGTTGAAGGAACTTTGGCAGGAGGGATCTGTAATGGAGAAGGTGATTGTTAGGTATAACATGAGTGGTGTTAGGGTATGGGTAGAGCTGGGCTTCAGAGCTGCACAGCGGCTCCACAGATCAGTGGGGAGCAGGCTGCCCTCATGTGGTCACTGTTCAAGTCCCACGATGAGGATGGCAGTGATGAACTGGAGTGCTGAGAATGAGGGTATCACTGGGACAGTGCATCAGGCCCTCTGGCCTGGCCCTATGTGGAAGTTGTAGGCTCTGGGAAAGTACCCAGCAACATAGGTGGGACCAGAACTCACTCCAGGAAACTCCTGGCTGTGGCTTTGGGCATGGCAGGTGGCATGCCCATGGCCTGCTAGTAGAGCATTCAGAGGCTTAGTCTAGTGGTGTCATCTTGGGACATGGTAACAGAACAGTTGGCTTTCTCTCCCAGTTAAAGGATTAAAAGTATTACCAAAAGTTGTGGGGAATCCCAGCACAGCCATTATTTGATACCTGTGAAATCAGGGTCCCCTCTCGGAGCTCTGAGTCTCACTAATAAATGAATTTAAGAACAGACACCTGCAAGTGTGCAGGTGATAAAGTAGAGTCTAAAGGAAGAACTCGGGGCAGGAACACTGGAGATGTGCAGCTGCCAGGAGGAAGAGTCGAGAAAGAACAAGGGGCCCAGAGCAGGAAGTGTAAGAGCAAGTTGAGACTCTGGCCAGCAGCAATGTGCTTCTCTGAGACAGACCTGCAGAAAGTGGACACAACCCACCCTACAGCTCCATAGGGACAGTGCCTCTGGGAAGGAAGAGAGAGCCATGGCTAAACACTGTGTGCCTGGTGTATGAGTCTAGAAGTTATGGGGAGCGGATCACCCAGGCAGAGCTTCCTCTCTGAGCTGGCATCATGGGAACTCTGCCCTGCTTGTCAACATAGGGGTCAGTTAGTTGGTGTTGACTTCGAGATCATATCTTGTGGCCTAAGCTGGCACAGAACTCAGACTCTCTGCGTTCTCTTAAAAGCTGGAGAGATGGGCTTACCCACCACACTTGATTCAGATTATTTTTTTGTGAAAGTACCTTTAGGGTGGCAAGGTGGCTCAGCTGGTAAAGGTGCTTGCTGCCAAGCCTGATGCTCCTAGTTTGAATTCCAGAATCTGCATGATGGAAAGAACTGGTTCCTGCAATTTGTCCTCTGCCCTCCATGCATGCATTATGGATATGTCCATACACAGAAACAGTAAATAATTTGGCTGGGAGTGCTGCTCAAGCCCTAACTTACATCCCTAGCACCATGGAGAACCAGGTGTTATGGCACATGTCTGTCATCCCAGCATCAAGATACATAGACGAGAGGATCAGGAGTTTGAGGCCAGCCTGGGCCAAATGAGTCTCTGAGTTAGCTGAGGTGCTGGGGCTCCAACAGCACTCTGGCCTTAGTGCTCCCAGCTTTTAGGCCACCAAAGAAAAGCAGGAGTGGTGCAGGTCTCAGATCCTCCCCTTCACTGGTGGGTGGGGCCAGTGGCTCCTGTAGAGGTCACCTGGAGGCCACAGCTTACCGTTTTCAACAGAACAGTGATCAAGAAGGAAGAGAAGCTAGAAAGAAAGGAGGAAAAAAGGCTGGAAGACATTAAAAAGGAGAAGGATCAAGATGAGCTTACACCAGGAACCGCCAGTCGGTCTCGAGTCGCCAAATCAGGTGAGCCGTGTCTTGAACACCAGTGGAAGGGGTGGAGGCATGGCAGGAGATGGAGAGATCATGGACAGGAGGCAAGCAAGATTTGCCACTCACTGGGTTTTGCTTTGTGTCATGTATGAGCAACAAATTGCAGACAACAGAAATTTCTATTCTGCACATCAGGCCTAGTGGCATATCACCCCACTCAAAACTGGCAATGAGATTGTGGTTGAGGCTGGCATGGATAACCTAGCAAACCTCTGTCACAAAATTGCAGCATTAGGTGTTCACCAGAATAAGAGTGGGTGGAGTCTAGTGGTAAGCTCTGCCCACACAGGAAGAAGAAAGGGGTCTTGCTCTACCAATAAAGGACAGGCTTGGGGTAGGCCTGAGCCTGGGGCTAGTAGTTACTGGACACAGGGCTATATGTGCATTTGGTTCCTCCAGGTCCCTGTCCTGTCAAGGGCCTGGTAGATGCCCTAGAGCATAGGCTGCCCTCAGAGCATCTTGACAAGCTTTGTCTCAAGACAAAAAAGCTGACACAGCCCAGGTCCTGCTGGGACCCCTGTCTTGACCAATGTGCCTATGCTGTGTGTGTGATTACACCCCCAGTGGCCTCAGCAGGGCACTCCCCTGACATACTGCCCTTTGCTGCTGGTTGCTCATGTTGCAGCTGGCATTCACATGGTTCTCGGGCTCTGGAGTCCAGTTCTCAAGGCTAGCACTGTGCTATCTCCCTGTTCCCAATTCTTATATTTATTCCATGCTATTCCCTCCAATTTTATATTGGTTGATTGCACTGCCCACTGTCAAGTTGGTGTGGGATTCTCTATTTCATCTTCTGTTGAACCCAATGGCTGTCTTCCCTGATGTTGAGAAAAGAGAGCCAAGTTTTGCCATGTGGCTCCTTACCAGCAGCTTGAGATGTTCCTCAAACTAAGTATTTAAAATAAAACTAGCCAGGCGTTGGTGGCGCACGCCTCTAATCACAGCACTCGGGACACAGAGGCAGATGGATCTCTGTGAGTTCAAGACCAGCCTGGTCTACAAGAGCTAGTTCCAGGACAGGCTCCAAAGCAATACAGAGAAACCCTGTCTCAAAATAAAATAAAATAAAACTAAAAATGCCAGTTACCTTTTTTAAATGAGTTTTTTTATATATAAAAATTCGTAAGATTATTTGTTTTATATATGTGGTACTCTGTGACAGAAGAAGGCATCAGATCCCATTATAGATGGCTGTGAGCTACCGTATGGTTGCTGGGAATTGAAATCTGGAACCTCTGGAAAAGCAGCCAGTGCTCTTAACCTCTGAGCCATCTCTCTAGCTGCTGCCAGTCATCTTTAATCCCAGCACTTGGGAAGCAAAGGCAGACAGATATTTGAGTTCAAGGACCTCCTGGCCTATGTAGTGAGTTACAAGATAGCCAAGACTACACAGAAAAATCCTGCCTTAAAAAAAGCAAAATGAGCTGGGCGGAGGGTGGCTCACGCCTTTTATTCCAGCACTCGGGAGGCAGAGGCAGGCAGATCTTTGTGAGTTGGAGGATAGCCTGGTCTACAGAGTGAATTCCAGAACAGCCAGGGCTACACAGAGAAACCTGTCTTGAAAAATTAAAACAAAAAGGAAAGGAAAGGAAATTACAGCCTCTCCATTGGCTGATCTTCTCCAGAGGCATTGTTGTCCCAGCGTTTACAGCCTGGGCCTATAATGCAGAGATGCCCAGCCAGCTCCTTTGGGACAAAAGGGGTATCCCTGCTGCCCACATAGTGAGGAAACATGCTCACTGCTAGGTGATACACCCACCAGGGCCACACTCTACACACACTTATGGAGGTCTGCAAGGCTGGGCTTTAGCGTGCTTACATGCTCACGGCTGCCTGTGCTTTCATGCAGGAAGCAGAGGCACGGAACGTACAGTCGTGATGGACAAGTCCAAGGGTGAGCCTGTCATCAGCGTGAAGGCTGCCAGCCGGTCAAAGGACAGAGTAAGCATTGATGGGCCGGGCAGGGCCCTAGCTTTCATTTTATGTCAGCCAGATGGGCCCATCCTGCATGGTCTAGTGTAACATTGTATTTGTATCTGCTGTTGGCCTTGTGATAAGTGAACCCAAAGGAAAGTATGGCCTTGTCCTTGGCTGCACCAGGGTGGTATATGGGCGTGCCTGAGAGTTTTCACCCTGGAAGCTTCTACCCAAAAGAGGCGGGCTGGCACACTCTTCTCTACCAGGCTAGAGTGCATCTGGTGATGAGTGTAGACTTGCATGGAGATGCCTGCTGTTTCCACTCCTGTAGGAGAAGTAAGTGAGCATTTGGCTTCTTAGACTACAAGTGCCTATAACTCCCAGGGCTGTCTGGCTTGATCCTTCTAAAACCAGCAACTGCCCCCACAGAGACCAAGGAGGGGGCTATGATCAGTGTAAGCATGCAGGGTACTCACACTGTAAAAAAACATGATGGTGGGAGCTCCTAGTAGCCCATGTGGCTCAGCTTCATACCAAAGCCCTGCTTCTGTTATTTTCCTATTATTTATACCACATGTGGAGCAGCCCAGGGATCCCCTGGAACTGGAGTTAGAGTTGTGAGCTGCCTATCTGGGTCCTCTGAATTTAGAGCTTTCTGGTTGTTCCTGATCAGAAATGCCGATGTCACCATCAGGGTCTGCAGGGCTTTGGCCAGCCCTACCTTCACAAATACCCTGGCCATGAAAGCCAGACTATACAGTACGGAGGCCTCGGGATGACAGCCCGGCAGTGGTGGTGCATGCCTTTAATCCCAGCACTTAGGAGACAACAAGCCATTGTCTGTGAATTCGAGGACAGCCAGAGCTACACAGATAAACCCTGTTTCAAAAAAGCAAACAAAGAGCCTCGGTCTGAGCCTAAGTTGCAGCCTCCCTTCTGACCAGAGGTTCTGGCTTGGCTCTGCTCTGATGTCTGCATTTTGCCAGGGACTCTGCTACATCTGTATCCTAGGCTGGCCTTGAATTTGCAGTCCTGATGTCACCCCCTGGAGTGCTGATGTCACGGGTACATGTCCCCACAAACAGCTGTGTAAGGTTTAGAATAGGCTGTATTCAGATGTCCTCAGGCCACTGACACTGCTTTGTGGTGAAAACTGAAAAGCCCAATGCTCAGGAGCTAGGCAGGAAGGCATTTGCCAGGCTGGCTACCAAAGCTCATATAGAGGCCCCAACACTCTGCACACCTCTCAGTTCTAACTGAATGGCTCTGGTCAGCAGAGCTCTAAAAGTCAAGACCGCAAGTCGGAGGGTCGGGAGAAGAGAGACATCCTGTCATTCGACAAGATCAAGGAGCAGCGGGAGCGGGAGCGCCAGAGGCAGCGGGAACGAGAGATCAGGGAGACAGAGCGGCGACGGTGAGCAGGGATGGGGGGCGCACCAGCTTAACCTGCCTTGGCTCCTGTCTAAGGTTGGAAATGGTTCCTGGCACCATCAGAGGGTGTGGGGAGCAGTGACCCTCAGAGCCAGGGCATGTTCTGGCAGAGCGGGCCAAGGCCCAGCTGGCTGAGACCTCCAAAGTCTGCATAGGCGGCCACAGGCAGCGCTGAGGCTGCAGCTTGCTGTGTGGGCTGATGGCTGCCTTCCTGCAGGGAGCGGGAGCAGCGGGAACGGGAGCAGCGGCTAGATGCCTTCCAGGAACGGCGTGAGAAGGCGCGAGTGCAGAGGGAACGGCTGCAGCTCGAGTGCCAGCGGCAGCGGTTGGAGCGGGAGCGGCTAGAAAGGGAGCGACTGGAGCGGGAGCGCATGCGTGTGGAGCGTGAAAGGCGCAAAGAGCAGCAGCGCATTATGCGTGAGCGTGAGGAGCTGCGGAGGCAGCAAGAACAGCTGCGGGCTGAGCAGGAGCGGCGGGCGCTGCGCAGACCCTATGACCTGGATGCCCGGTAAGTGCCATGCTCGTGCTGCCTCTCCTATGGAAAGCCACTTGGCAGTGTTGGTTAGCTACCATGCTGTCAGTTCTTGGCCAGTGGACAGTCACTGCAGGCCTGCTGAGGAAGCCTGGAGGAGACTCGGATGCCTGTAATTCCCATTGTAAAGTGGGAAATTTGTAGCCACGCCCGCTTAGGGCATGCTACAATACCAGGGAAGACGGACAGAGAGAGGCGTGGGGTCCAGCACTGTGCTCATGCCTGTGCTCTTGGTGGTAGTCAGCTCCCAGCAGCTTGCCTTCATCCTGTGGTGACAGTGCCATTGGTGACTGTGGGATGCTGCTGCTACCATCTTGAATGAAGTATTTTTGCAAAATGTAAAGCAGGAGGGAGGACAGCTACTGGCCTGAAGGGAAGCGTGCAGCCATAGAGGACAGGTATCGAGACTTCCCACGGCTGGATCACCGCTTCCACAACTTCGACCACCGGGAGCATGGCCACTACCAGGAACATGTCATAAGCAGGTCAGCTACTCCCCTGGGTCACCATGTATGTGACGGGTGGGTCCTAGTGCTCTCTGAAAAAAGCTCATTGCTCCCTGGGACCTCTGCAGGACAGGTGCAAGTGTCACCAGGGAACACCAGGTACCCTGTGCCCAACCCTCAGTGCCCATGTGGTGGGTCTGCTGTCCTGACTACCAAGTCCCCTCGTGCCTCCTAGAGGATCCTAGGTTGGGCCAGGTTGCCTAGCCTGGATATTCTAGAGGAGGAAGCAGATTGTAAGGGGTGAGAGGACACTGGCCTTGCACTCCTGGATCTGCCTCCACACTGTAGCCCCCTTCTTTCCTAGGGTCTTGTCAGGGCTGTTCCTCAGACTCTATGTGCTGTCTGTATTCCAAACTGTCTCACCCCTGCGCATTGTAATTGCAGGGCAGCTCTCCTGGGTCTGTGGCTTTGTGGAGGCTGTTGCTACCTATTCTCCCCCTGGCTCTGACCTCCAGAGAAAAGCCTTCCACCTACCGCTCCCATCCATTCCCTGTTGTTGTGTCCCTAACACACAGGTGCCAGTGTGTGTGGGGATAAGGAGCAGAACTTGTCCCCAAGAGAGAATTCTGCCTCCACCCTACTCCCACATACCATGCCCTGTTCCCTTTGCAGGAGAGATGGGTCCAGACCAGGAGTGGAGGAACGTGATGAGCAGGTGAGTGCTGGTAGCCCCTGATGTAGAATGGGGAAGGGGTAGTCATTCCATTCTGAGGCTCACCCAGTAGAGTCTGTCAGCGGTTTAGTTACCACTTGCTTGGGAACTTGGTGTCGTTTCTCTGGGGCCTTCAGTACAGTGGTGGCTTTGCAGCCCTGTGGGGAGTTGGGTCCAGACTCTGGCCCCTCCAATTGAGTGAGCTGGTGCTGAGAGCCATGAGAATTCTCCATGGTCCCTGAGTCTCCAGGGAGGAGGTGGGGCCCTACAGGATGGGCTTAGGTCAAGATAGGGCTTGGGAACCAGCTTGTTCCCTAGGGGTCCCCAGAGCATGTCCCTTTGACAAGAAGAGACCCCTGGTGGTGTATGCACAGCCCCTGCAGACGTAACTCATAGACACTTTAGCTGCTTGACCTTGTTGCAAATCTAGGGGACATGGGCTTTAGCTCAGTGTGGACAGAGGCAGAATATTGAAGCCAGGCCCTGTGTGTGCGTGGGCCCCAGAAAAGACACCCCATGTCTTTCCTGTGCCCTGTTGCAGCACTACCTAGATGATCACCACAGCCATGCAGGCTCCCTTGAGTACCATGGTTGGGACTCCCGAGACAGCTGGCGTGGCTACAGTTCTGACAAGAAAGTGAATGAAGGCCAAGGGCTGCCCCCTCCCCCCAGGTAAGTGTCCTCTTCAGGAGGAGCCTGGGGTGTGCTTGCCCCTTTCAGCTGTGGGTCATGTTGCCACCATATACTGCCCATGTGTTTGTGTCAGCATGCTTCCATGTGGTGCGTAGGCCCAAGTGTGGACCCCTGAACTGGCCAGGACCACTGTGGCTTCTTGTGGCCCCACTGTGTCTGCCTTGGTGGTGACTCTCCTCCCTGGTGGTGCCTGGCATCCTCGTGCCCACCTCTGGCTACAGGCCCATCTTTGCAGATGCCCTGGAGTTGGGCTCACATCTTTCTGGTGTGACGGGAAGTGAGTAGTGACAGCCATGTGTCACCTTCTGTTTGGCAAAGGGTCAGCAGAGAATGGGAAGAGCACAACTCACGGCTGGAGGAGCAGCAGGTTCCCGCCTGGCACGGTGCTGTGAACACAAACACGACAGGCCACGAGCACATGCGGTGGCGAGGTACCAGGGGGCTGCAAGGGGCAGGTGAGCACCAGGTCCACAGCACAGGCAGAGTCCACAGAGCTGTCTCTACTGCAGGTGCTGAGCGGGGCCTTGCAGGACCTGGGCACGTGCATGTGGCAGCAGGCAGAGGTGGCATGGCTGGGTAAGAAGGCTGCAGTGCCAGCCACTGTCTCCCTCCTTTCTCTCTCCCTCATCTGCATGACTGTGCACTGGCTGGGCTGGCGTTCTAGGAGAACTGTAAAGGCCCTGTGTTCTGCAAGGTGGCACCTTGCCACCAGGCATGGCCATTGCAGACCATCTGCCTTTTGTCCTAGGCAAAGCAGCTTTGCACATGGTGGACATTCCCAGGGCCATGTGGTGCCCACTGGTGGACTAGAAGGTGGCGGCGTGACCAACCAAGACCAGGATAGCAGAGTCCTCCACCCCCACCTTCACCCCCACTTCACCCGCCGTTACTGAGCCCTGCTCTGGACCAAACCCTGCTGCTGCACTTCAGGCGGAGGCTGTGGCCCAAGCCACCTTGCACTTGGGGCACCGCTGGCAGTCCCAGGCACTGCAGAGTGTCGGTGTGAACTCACTCTTCTAGTGTTTTTAATAAACACGGTACTGTTCTGCCATTTGTAAGACAAGGTTTCTCTTGTCAGGCATTCCACCCCACCCAGCTCCTGTGGCTGCAGCTGTGTCCCTGTGCTTGGCTCATGCTCCAGAGCTCAGACGTGGCAGAATTGAAATCTAAGCCAGAGGGGTCTCTGTTGCAGACCTCACTCTAGCTGTGAGGGTGGGGTGACGGGTTCCCATTGCAGAGCTACATCTGGACGGTGTCAACCATTGCTGGAAAAGTGTTAGTAGTAGCTGACCTGCAGTCCTGAGAGCTGCAGTGGCGGCCACTAAAACGAAAAAGAAAAAAATGTTTGAAGGATAGGGATGTGATGGGGAAGGGCTATGGCTTGGCTGGGAGGTAAGGGCAGCTGCAGAGCCCCCAGTGGCCTTTCCTAGTCTAGGTGTGGTACAGAAACCTGAGCTGGCTTTCCCTAGAGGCCTTGAAAAGCTACACCCTGATGGTGGCAGGCACTAGGTGCCTGTCAGGCAGTGTCAGCCAGGCTCTGACTGCATGATCACCCACCTCAACTTCCATCCCCACCCTCTGAGCATGGGCTCAGCTGTGAGAGCATCCAACCCCTTGTGGCTGGCATAGGAGTGAGGGAATCCCTGCATAGTGACTGAGGATCAGATCGGGTTTTCCTGAGCTGTTGACCTCACTGCAGGCCAGCTGTGAAGTCACTGGGTTCTCTGAGCCAGAGTGAGGTGTCCAGCCTGCCTTGGACCATCTCTGAGGCCAAGAACCCCCATCTGTCCAGTGCTGGGTGGCACCAAGCCTGCCTCTGTGTCTCTCAGCCTGCCAGAAACCATCTTGTCACCACACCTCAAGCCAGCACTCCCTTTCACTTGGGCCCTGTTCACATGAGCACCCTGAATTGCTACATCAGGCCTGGCAAGGTCTGTCCCCAAGGCTGTATTTGGTCCCCTAGAATGGCAGGGCTAGCCTTGGCTCGCCTTTATTAGAGAGTGAGAGTCAGGTGAGATGTGCTACCTGTTGCACTAGGGACTGCTGAGCATATCAGCTGTTCCAGCCCTAGGCAATGTTCCAGCATCACCGCGGAAGCTGAGGCAAGACCTTTCACTCCAGCACGGGCTATGCCTGAAGACCCTGTCTCAACCAGGCAAGACATCAATGAGACCTCAAGGACACAATGCTCAAGTGTCATGAGCCAGACACCGGAGGCACACTGCAGGGCCTGCTGCCAGAACATCCTTGGAGTCCTTAGCCACAGAAAGAAAGTGGCATTGTGGTTGCTGGAATGTGGACATAATAGCTTTGTTGTGCTTAGATGGGTGGAATCTTCAGGAGATGGATGGTGGCCATGGCCACCCAAGCTTGAGAATGAGCTTCCTGCCTCCAAGCCTTGTCCCAAAAAAGCTAAGGGGCCTCGAACTCATAACCCTGCGCTCCTACAGAGTGTATCACTACATCTGTCCTGCTTGCCGGAGGAGGACTTTTACACTGCACAAAAGGCCTACAGTGCCTCTCATGCAGCTAGTGCTTAATAAATGCTGAGAAGCAAAAGTGCTGGGCTGACCTGTGCCTGCCTCCTATGAGCCCTGTCTACCCCCAACCCTGTCAGGTGCAGGGTTGTGACGGGCTATTTTAAAGCAGAGGGGACATTTCCCTGTGGGTGATACCTGTAACACATCTGATCACTGGGCATGGTGGCATAGTAGTTAAATGCCGGCCTGGACTACATTACCAAGTTCAGGACAAAAGAAAACACTTGCTAACACTGGTCAGGTCAGTCTTTGTGGCTAGTGACACAGATAGGCATGTCGTCGTAGCCCAGCCCTTGGGATGATCGCTAGAATCACTTTTAACACTGAAGTCACTCTGGCTGGTCACCCCCCAGGCAGCAAGTCACATGACCCAGTTTCTGTTTCCTGAGACAAGCTGGGTTCTCTGGCCACGTACTAATATCACCTGGTTTGGAACAAGTATTCAGGGTCTTGCCTCGAGCTTGCTGCACACATTATCCACAGTTCTTTATGGAATTGACTTACACCCCCTTGGTCCTGATCTCAGCTCCTCATGCCTACCCTTTTCCAGGCATCTGTCTGTCACTCCACCCCTGGCCACATCCCAACTCCTCACTGGGGGATTCTGGTGGTTCTCCACCCCTGTTGAACTATTCTTTTATTTTTAATTGAAACAAAGTTTCTCAATGTCTTGGAACTCTCAAAGATACTGCCTCTGCCCCCTAAGTGCTAGGGTTAAAGGTGTTCACAGCCTGGCTGAAACTTAGGTTTTTTTATACAATATATTTTGGCCCATGTTTTTCCATCCCTCTGATGCACCTCTCCTTACCTGTTGAACTTTTTTTTTTTCTTTTTTTAATAACTCAGGCACAGAAAAACCACAAAAACCAAAATATACAAGTAAACAACCGGTAAGTCCAAAAAACAAAAACAAAATCCCAAGCAAAGCAAAATAATACCATTGTGTTCATTTTGTGTTGGCCAACTACTGGGCATGGGACCTGCCCTAACATGTGGTTAATAAACCCAGCACATTTCATTGAAAAATGGGTTTTTCTTCTGCAGGTGTCAATTGTAGATAGCTCCTTTGGTAGGGTAGGGAGTTGCAGTGCTTTCTTGTGTGTGCTACCATTCTCCCTAAGTTTGTACATGTGTGTCAGTCCTGTTGTGTCTGGAAGACTGTTTCCTTGCAGATTTCCCCACCTCCTCTTTCTGAGGTGTGGTAGAGACCACAGGCAGTATGAGTGAGCACCTGAAGTCTTGCTTTCTGTACCTTGTGCAGTTGTGGGTCTCTTGTTAGTTTCCATCCACTGTGGGAGGAAACTTCCCTGATGGCTGTGGGGGCGGGGGTGCTGGCTTCAGAAGGCTTTAAAACAAGCCATGACACCATCATCTGGGAAGTTGAGGCAGGGTTGTAGATTATGGGCCACCCTGTCCAACAGTGTCTCATCTCCTCTAGACCCATCACACCCACCCCATGGGGACTGAGGAGCCTGGGAGCCAGTGAAATGTCATGTGAGCCTCATGGGGCACTCCTGGACATGACCAAGTTCTCTGGAATGAACCCGGTAGTGGATCCCAGGCCCACATACTCTTGCTCTGTTCCTACTGTCATTCACTTGCAGATGCTGCTTGTGCACTGGGAACATGTCAGTGACTCCGACACATTTGCTTGTTGGCTTCCTGGAGGTGACCAGCAGGAACAGTGTTCCCAGAGAAGGAACTGCATATCAGGAACCTCTAGGAAAGATAGGGCAGGAGGATTAGAGGGATGGAGCAAGCAGAAGTGTGCAAGACTGGTGTACCCACAGCAGGCTTCAGCCCTGGAAGGCTGAATGTTTTCCAGTGTCTTCTCTGTGGTGCTACCTGGGTCAGGGATCCAGTGGTGATGGGAGAAAGTGATTTCCCTGGGCAGCCTCAGGTCTCCGGATCTACACCCCCACATCCAGACCTGGGCTCCAGAGGGAAACCCTGCTTCAAAAAACAGGTGTGGGCTGGGATTGTGTGACAGCAAAACCATCCCCCCAGTATCAAATATAAAAGTAGAAGGGAGAGACACACACTGGCCTGAACCCATTTGGGGGGCAGCCCGTGGTTTTCAGGCCTACCGCTTCTGCCCTGAATAGCCACCAGGTGGTGCCCAAGAGCCACAATATGCCAAGGGGTTCCCACTTGGCAGCTGGTGTGCAGCCCTACCTCACCCCACCCCCACCGGCGCTGTCACCCACCCATACCCAAGGTCTCTGGAGGCCCCAATGTCCAGCAACGTTTGGACTGAACCTGCCTCTGAATCCAGAGTTACTGTACATTCTTGGTTACATCACAAGTTTGAGGCCAGCCTGGGCTACATGAAGCCCCCCCCCCCCCCCGAATAACAATAATCATAATAGCAAATGAGAGGGGACATTGGGCAGGCTTGGTGAGGAAAAGTACTTCACAACGAAGCTGACAACCTGAATCCCATCCCATAAGGTGTCCTCTGATTTCCATATGCACACACACACACACACACACACACACACACACAGATGCTCACACACAGTGTAAATTTTTAGTTACAAAAAGGCTCAGCATGGTAGCACACCCATCCCAGCACTTGGGTGTGTGTGGGGGGGGGCATAGAGGCAGAAGGATCTGTGAGTTCCAGGCCAGTCAGGGGCACATGGCCACTACCCAAATTAATATATATGGGAGAAAGAGGGAGAAGTGTAAGGCCATGGGAGTGGGAGTCTGTCTTCCCAGCACTTGGGAGACTAAGGCAGAAAGATAAGTTTGCGGCTAGCCTGGACTACATAGTGAGACCCTGTTTGAACACGACAGATCTGTGTCCTGAATGATGCAGCATCATTCAGGATGAGCAGTGAGCATTATCAGGGTAGAGAACATCAACAAAGGATAGTTGTCCAAGGCATGCATATGGCTGGCTTTCATTCACACGTGAAAAGTGCCTGTGAGTCCTTAAGAACCAACAACAGTACATTAGAAAAGGGGTGAAGCATTTAAGTGGCTTTTGAAAAGCAACTTCAAATGTCCCTACAAGATAAGAGCTGGCCAGTTCAGTGCTTTGACCTGAGCCTCTGGCTTTTCAGGGATTCTCCAAGCTTGCTGCCATCGCCTGGGTCAGAACACAAAGCCCTGATCCCTCCAAAGAGTCAAACCATAGAGCCCTTGGGCCACAACCACCTGGCCTGTCTCAGCTCAGGCAACCTCCACCTGCTTCAGCCCCATGGCCCTGGCCCTGACTACACCCATAGCTGTGACATTCAAAAGCTCAGCCTATAGGTGGCAGATGGGGACTTGGGAACTCCACAGATGGAGCCAGCCACCCAACAACTCTCCCCGCTAGGACTCAGTTTCCCCATGTGCTGCAGGTTGAATGTTAATGGCTTAGCTTATGCATTGTGCCCTGGTCTGACTGTCCACACAGCTGTCTGAGCCAGGATCCTCAGCCCAGTGACTGCAATGACACAGCAAAGCGACCAGCATGGATGGGATTTGCTGGTTTGTTGGGAAGGAGCCCCCCAACCCCACCACCTAGAATTCC